TGTTGACTTTATGAGGCGCTAAACACATTTCACCAGTTAACATCTTGTTAATGCTGATCCGTGCACAAGAGGTTTTCAATATCGGTATCGCTATTTTCTGTTTGCATACTCTTGTCATTATCACCATTGTCACAAGAGTGACAATGCCGGTGTTGACTCTGCGCCAGTATCATCCTAGCGCAATCGAGACGCTAATTTGCACTTCCCGCAGTCATACTTTTCTGCCAACAGCAACTAGTAACCTCTGTTTAGCTGGAGGTTAAAACAATAAAGAAAATTTAAACGGCCCCTCATATCCGGCATCGTGACCTTTCATCTCAAATAAAAATTTATACGGCACTGAAATAATAACAGAAATGCATAGTAAAAATGTTATCGCTACCAAAAATGAATGAAAAATCGTAGTACTGTAACTGTATAACATATGACGGTGATGAGTGAAACGTTCCAGTAAAATAAGTATTCTAATTTCGCAGCAGAAACTCTAGCGTGAAGCATAGTTATAAAGGCATAAATGCAGAAACTCTAGTGTGGAGCTTCCAGTTGGCCAAAGCGCCACCCTAATTTTTTCTTCCCATTTTTGGGTGGACATACAGCATGCGTAGTCTGTTAATAAACCTGTATTAACCGTTAACAAAATTGGCAGGCACATCGCTATCGGCGTCGCCGGTTGGAGCGAAAAACTGGTAGGCGCTTGATGCCGTTTACAAAAAATATGTGCGATTCACCGACCGCCGCAGAATACAAAAGACACTTAATTAAGACAAACAATTATTTATACAGAATGCAAAACAGAGCGTATTCAGTCCATACTCCATAGTGCCGTATTTTTCTTTCCTGAACACAGGGTAACCGTTACTCTGTATTCTGCGGGAAGGGAAAATTCAGTAACCACTCACAATTACCGAGTGAGCGATGTGCCATCTACACCATACGAAAGCGGCTCTTCATGAAGGAACAAATGCTGCAATTAAGCCTTCGTCAAGACTACATGCTCCATAGCAGAGACCAGAGTATACACTCTCCACAGCAGAGTATGTCTGACGCCACGAAGAGCGTACGTCACGCGTTTCCAATTCCACAATACCTTTCCCAGTGGTACTGGCACTCGCGCTCGAGCAATGATGTGGTTCGCGACCACCACTAGTATGGAAGAACAGAGGAATGTTATGGGCCTATGCCGTATGTCAGCGCGGATTCTCTACGCGCCTACACACATTATTTTCTTTTAGAAAACTGTAACGGTCCAAGATTACACTTCCAATAAGATTAAGACGGGCGGATGAGCTGCCGTGCAATTGTAGCATGCACATCCATCCCGGTATCGCTAAAACACGGTTTTATATGGCACAAACTGTAGATTCACTTAGAGTGAACATGAACCGGCGCGTCATATGAAACCGTTTATCTCGACACTCGAAAGTCTCCTAGCATGACTGGTAAAACTCTCCAGTTTCACTTCTAATTTGGACACCATGATAACCGGAAATATCACTTTATTTGTGTTTTATAAAACTGCGCCACTGGATATTGACTTTTAAAAGTGTTGGCAAATTTTACCCGGTAACTCCTTGTTAGTACTGATCAGTGTAAAACAGTTTCGATATTAAATTTTGGTATGGCTGTTTTCCTTTTTCCTTTTCACTCGTGTGACAGGAGTGACCAAGCAAATATTGACTCAGCACCCTTGTCAATCCAACACATTCGGCACACCGTTGCAAATCGCATTCCTTGCCAAATGTAAATCAGCGTGGCAATCTTGCCGCAGGTTTTGTGGCAAACCACTCCTGCTCGCGCAGGAGTGGTAGGTCTTTGTCCAGTTGCAGCACTAATTCATTTTGCTAAGTCTGCTGAGTGTTTTCCCTTGCTTTTTGGTCTTCCATGAATGAAAGCTATGGGATCACGGTCTGTTTTGGGTTAGCTAACGACGAGCGATGGAAACCAACCCCTTTCCGTTATCCCCGAAAGCTGATGTCGTACTTCCATCTGAGATTAGATGAGATATTAATTTTACTTCCTCTGAGATGTTCGCTGGGGATATCCCAAGTATCGATCGCGCACTTTGACGATGTTTTTTATATTTGTCGTGAATACTGTTCTTACCGAATTCGAAATTATATCGGATGGCTGCATTTGGTTAAGCGGTTTTAGCTATTATTGTATTATACTCTTATCATTGTCTGGTTGTAGGGAATCGGGTCATGATGCAGTACCATGGGCTCCATGAAAGTGCATTATTACCCGATTTTTTCCAGAAACAGAGAAATCAAAAGTCCACTCCATGAAAAGTCCACTTCGAAATCACCGAAAATCACTTCCTCATTCCAACAAAGCCGATTGATTAGCTGACCGCTCCGTGGTTGGATGTTAGCCATGGTGCTGTCATGGTGGTACTAGTATTTAAAGACCATCATGATTCATGACGCTGCCATGGCCAACACTTTACTCGTGTGCCGTTTCCAGTGACTGTCATTTGCCGCCTGTTGGAAGATTTTCTGTCATTGAATGATTAAACTTTTTGATATTTTCGGGGAAATTTTAACGGGCATTTTGTTCTTGCTAAATGATAATACGTGGAAATAATTGTGGGTGATCTAGCGTACACAGTGACTGCACAAGAGTTGATTGTGCACCTTTTTTTTGCTATTTCATCGGATTCATCCCAATTTCATTCAACACCCGAATGTTTTAATCATGGTAGAGGCTCTCAGGCTGATTACCATCCCGCTACAGATGCACAGCTGTCAGATAGGCTGTTGTTAGAATACCACTGAATGCTGTTCCAGGCTGTGCAAACAAGCTGCCCATTGCCGTTGCTCTACCCGTATGGTCGTTTGAGTGGGCCACTATGGTAAGTCAATGAGAGATGGTCGTTTGAGTGGGCCACCTTAAATATTTTTTTCCCGAAACCGATTTTCTTCCGGTTTTCTTCTTTATCTGACCATGCAAGACTTACCCTTCACAGAGTACTTGAAATTTAAAAAAAAGGTGGAACCGTTCTTTGCAACTGCGACGTAAAAAAATCAGTGACAAAAGCGCTTTAGCCACGCCACCGAAGCCACTGCACTACACAGCGATCGTGATTGCATTTTTCTTAGTGCAGTGCTGATGTGCTGCTGAGCAATTCAGTTTAGATTTATTTGATTTTATTTAAATTTATACCTTTACTTCTTCAAAATTGACCTTTGTAAGTTGAACTAAAGCGCTACGACATTGTGCACATGTGTCGTTCACAACAGCCGCACATGTGTGGCAGTGGCTACATTTTTCTTGGTGTAGTGCAGTGGCTGCGGTGGCGTGGCTAAAGCGCTTTCGTCACTGATTTTTTTACGTCGCAGTTGCAAAAGAACGGTTCAACCTTTTTTTTAAATTTCAAGTACTCTGTGAAGGTAAGTCTTGCATGGTCAGATAAAGAAGAAAACCGGAAGAAAATCGGTTTCGGGAAGAAAATATTTAAGGTGGCCCACTCAAACGACCATCCCTCATTGACTTACCATAGTGGCCCACTCAAACGACCATACGGGTAGGTGTACGAGAGGAATGAATGAACATTCCTCTCTTACAAGGCCGAAGTAGTCACATAAAACTTCTAGGGGCGGAGCTAAGTTGATCCGGAAAATAGCATAGGCGTCTACGAGAAAATCCAATCAAAGCTGAACCTTTTGGTTTGGTTTTCGTCGTTCGAACAACTGATTCGTTCTGGTAGATAGAAAAAGTTTGGGCGGTCAGGACTGTATGGGTATGGGTGGTTATATCTGACCCGCCGTTGAGATAAACAAAAAAGAGAAAAGCCCAGCGGAAATGGGCGTCCTACGTGGTTACCGCCAGAATATGTGGGCAACCACATATTCTGGCGGTAACAATACAGGAGTTCACGCGACGCGCATAGTTAGCAATGTATGTCCCCGTATTCAAGGCTCGATTTAAAGTACCGTAATAAGTAATAACATTAATAAGTAATTACATCACGTAATAAGTAAATACATTGAGAGCGCAGCGCGAGCGCATGAGAGCGCAGCTGATCCCGACGAATGAAGTTTATAATAATTAGTAATCACAGCGCAAAAATGTTCGGAAATATTGTGCCAGTGCACTGAAATGCATTTATTTCAGTCAGTCGTGGTTGTTCATATAGCTACCACCCGCCAAAAAGGCTGTTAATTTGTCAGGTGTTTATTTATACGGAGGCAGTTATTCTAAAGACTAAGTAGTATACCGGTCTATATGAACCAGTTTTTTTTATCCGGGGGGTCCAAATTTTAGGCCCTAGGGGATAATTAACGGTCTGTGTGTTTCTGCCCTAGGGGATAATTAACGGCGTGTTTTTTGACCGGGAGGAATTTTAACGAGTGGAATGTTTTTTAATATGTGATTTTGTTAAAATACGTCATGAAATTGCAGAATAAATATCGTTTCGTTAGATGGCATTGTGAAAATGACATACTGATTAGTGCATTACTTTTAATTTTTGAGTGACAAAAACAAAAAAGGAAAAAAAGGAAGCTTGATCTGTGGTCGGGTAAGTATGCTATTGCGGTGACACATGTTCCGAACGACCACGACCACTGTTCGATCTTGGCTTCCTATTTTTTCACTTGTACGACATGGATCACTGAAATCAGTGATCCTTGTAAAATCAGTGATCCCTTGTATGACATGGATCACCGAGTTCAGTGATCCCTTGTACAACACGGATCACTGAGTTCAGTGATCCCTTGTACAACACGGATCACTGAGTTCAGTGATCCCATGTACGACACGGATCACCGTTATTGGTAATCTTTCCTGGTTTTGATGACCCTTGCAAGTACGAGATTATCGGAATCGGTGATCCATGTAAGTGCAGCGGTCAATCACGTACGTAAACACCGTAGCAACAGTACACTGTTAAGTAATCTTTAGATAAATGAATGTGGTTTTTGCTACGTATTTGATCTGAACGGACAATACGCATAATGGAAGTTTTATTTCATTTTGAAATTGCTGTTAAATCAATAAAAAGTTGCATTATTGTCTGTGGCGCCATCGTCAAGAAAGAACAGCTTCGTTCCGGAAAGTGGTTGCCGCTTATTGTTTTTCCGTATATGGGTCGATTCAAGAGGTATGACCGGAGTTGATGGCTTAAAGACACTCCCAATCTTACACTGCTCCATGAAATCCGACCGTTGCGTTTTTGCTGTAACAAAAACGATGACATAAGTTTCCGGTAAAATTTTCATTCAGTCAGAACCACGTATTCATCCCAGTCGTTTAACGAAATGCTGTAAAGGTCTTACCTAATATTTGAAAGGTCATATTGTTCGATTGTTTGGTTTCGTAGGGTGCTGTTCCAGTAGTCGGTCTGCATAATTTTTCCAACGTTTTCGGCGACAACAAACGCAGCAAAAACTACGAAAAACACAACGTACAGAATAATTAACAACACCTTCTCACATTTTTGCTCTAGGTTTCGTGCATGGCACAACATGTGCTGGAGGTTAGCCATTGTAAATTGTCAGTTATTATTGAAACACATTAACATCCCTTAAATAGGCTAGCGTTGTTTATTTTCCACGAGTAATTAAATCTTTCAAACGCTTTATGAATTATTTCGCATTATTGGTCACTGAAACAATACCTGTTATTTAAAAATACCCGTTCGTAACAAAGCCTATTTAAGCGGAACATGTTTGGTGCACAAACATTATGTGTTTGCTGAAAATGTTTAGCGTGATAAACGATTATCCGCGCTTTTGCGCTCCGTTTGGAATGTGCGTTTGTGGGCCCACAATGTCGGGCAAAACAAACTTCGTATTTACGCTCCTGAAAAACAGCAACTTTGTTCTGGATCAACAACCAACGAGGATATTATACTGTTACGGTCAATGGCAGAAGGGTTTCGAAACCTTACGTAAACAGGCTACTCCAGTTGAATTCCTGCAGGGTCTGGACGACCTATTCTCAGTTTTGCAGTCAGTTGACAGTAAGACTCATACCTTGGTTATTATTGACGATTTGGCTACCGATCTGTGCAAAGATTCTCGATGTTCGGACCTGTTTAACCGTGGAATTCATCACAAGAACGTTTCCGTCATCTTGCTTCTGCAAAACCTGTACAAACAAGGAAAATCCATGCGTGACATCACACTCAATTCGCAGTACCTGATACTATTTAACATCGTCCGGGATGTCAATCAAATCGCATTACTGGCACGTCAAACCGGACTGAAACATTTGGTCGACGCATACAACAAAGTAACATCGGAGCCTTATCAACCTTTGGTATTGGACTTACGCCCAACGTGCCCAGATTATTTAAGGATACGATCCCATGTTTTACCAGGTGAACGAATGCGGATTTATCTGAAAAAGAACTCAGCAAACACTTTACCAAAATGTCGGAAAGGGTAAAGGCCTTAGCGCCCTTCATCATCACGCTGCAGCACTTGAAGCCAAAGCAGCGAAAAGTCCTTGTGAGCTACCTAACCAAATCGCAACTTAAAGCGCTGGAAGAAGTGGCTGTCAATATTGTGAAAAATACAGTTAACTTATCTCCCGCCGAAACAGATAAGTGCAAACGGTATCGGAAAGCATTAAAGCTGATTGCCTTACGTCGCTACCATTTGAAAGAAAAACGCAAACTGATTCAGCAAGGAGGATTTATTGGAGCCATCTTGCCAGTCATTGCCGGTGTTCTAACTTCTCTTATCGGAAATGGATGAATACTTTATTGTTCCACGCCGAGTAATGGAAAGCCGGCTCCATGAACAGCTCCAGATAAACAGAGAACCCCCGGAAGCACAAAGTGTTTTATCGCTGGACGCTCTCGTAATTCAAACGCTCCAACGTACTGATATAAGCGAGTATGAAAAAGCCAGCCAGCTGAGTAGTATCCTAGAACGGTTCCTTGCCTTGAAACAGAAAGCCATTCCTGATGAAAATCCGTTAGAATTACCCACGGACGTAGTCACACAACCGCTTCCAATAGCTGCGGAAAGGAATCCACAGCCCTCGGTATTCCGTCCGTATTCCCGACTGCCACCGCAAGCTATGATTGTTGAAACACAAGAGTCAGAACAGCCAACTTCTCAAAAACGAAAGATACCAGAAGAATTTGAGGAAGCTGTTCCTACGAAGCAACCTCGACAAGCTTTATTCCCATCCGATTTACCCACTAAAGGACAGAAACGCGACCGTGAAAGCGATCCTGAAGACAGCAACAAACCAAAGACCGCACGCATTGCTTTGTTTCCGGCGTCGCTACCGAAGAAAGGTTCCAAACGTCATCAAGACGAAAGTGTCGAATCGCGACCAACAAAAGCAGCGCGCATAGCGTTGTTTCCCCCGACCGCACCGAGGAAGGGTCAAAAACGATCGACTGAAAGCATCGACAACCAAGGGTCTTCCCGTAAGCAACCTCGTAGACCTTTGTTTCCGGTCACGACTCTTCTACGTGGGAAAAAAAGAAAGGCGGACCAGATTGAAAGCAGTGTTAGAAAACTGCGCTCGCGTACCATCCAAAAAGGGGCGGGCCGAACCAGAATTCAGTGGATCACTTTGACGTAATGGCTGGTCTTATCCCCAGCGTATTACGGTTATGCCGTATATTTAAGATCAACTGTGTCTCTCCTGCTGCAACAAAGCCGATGGAGAAACTAATGAAGCGATACCTCAACCCGCGCGATCCCGGCGGTCTTGGAGGCGTGGAAAGGTTCCGAAGAAGTCTAAAGACCAGAGCCAACAGACGGAAAGCTCAGGAGATTCTGCAAGAGATCGATGCGTACACTGTGACCAAGGAAAATCGACGTCGCTTTGCACGCAACCGGATCGTAGTGACCAACCTTCGTCAGCAGTACCAAGCGGATCTGGCTGATTTATCAAAATATTCCAAGGAAAATGATGGGTACAAACACCTGCTGTTTGTAATTGATTGCTTCTCCAAAAAGCTGAGCATTCAACCAATGAAGTCCAAAACGGCCAACGAAACCAAGAATGCCTTGTCCAAGGCTTTCGAAGAACTCGGCGAGCCGGAAAAGCTACAGTACGATAAAGGCACTGAAGTCGTTAACGCAACGGTCAAGACCTTTTTGAAAGGGAGAAAGATTCAGTTTTTCACATCGGAAAACGAAGACATCAAATGTGCCATGGCAGAACGCGTTATCCGTACCATCAAAACACGAATGTTTCGTTTGTTTCGTGCGCGGGTTTCGACCCGGTACATTGATAAACTGCAAGATTTGGTGTACTCGTATAACCACTCCAAACATCGAGCACATGGATTGCGACCGATAGACGTCACCCAGAACAATTCTTTGGCGGTATTCAACAAATTGTATCCAACCAGAGAAGTTCGACCACCTCGATTCAAGGTCGGTGATGCAGTCCGGATAGCCGTGCACAAAACCAAGGTGGAAAAAGGCTATACGTTTCGATTTAAGGAGGAAGTGTTCTACATCATTAAAGTCATTTCACATACCGTACCGGTATACCGACTAAAGGACTATCAAGACCAACCTATCCAAGGAACCTTTTATGAACACGAGCTCTCCAAAGTATCGCGCCCGGAACAGAAGGAATATACCATCGACCATATCATTAGACGCCGTGGTGACAGAGTACTAGTTCGCTGGTTAGGTTACGGACCTGAGCACGATTCCTGGATAAAGGCATCATCATGTACGAAGGAGCACCATTCTACGTGACGCTACCGAGCGATGTGGCGACGGACCCGAGCAACACACCTTCAAACTGGACGACCAAATTGAAACATCCCATTACCCTGAAGGGAAAATGGGAAATGGCCCTTGTCGAACTACAATACCTCAATTCCTTTTTCACTCTTCCCGTCGAGCAGAAGATTGAAGTGCACATCGTTAAAGAATTCAGACTAAAGAAAGACGAAGCAAACTTTTTGGAGTCTGCGGACCAAGTTGTCCATACCGACGAGATTACCATCCCTCCTGGAAATTACAAAGATGCCGATTTGCTATTAAAAACCATCAATTCATTAGTACCCAAAGTTGGATCGTACATGGTGGACGATACAGTACACGCTGACAAGAGCGCCTTGACTGCCGACAGAGCCTTTACCGTTCAATTGCTGACCGCCACCAATCATCGAGTTCGACTGAATATTGGTAACGATCGGGTTTCTGTTATCTTTCCTCCGTCGTCGATAGTCCTACAAAAAATGCTGGGATTTGAGCACAGCGTACTGAAACCTGATCTGCCGATGGAAAGTAACAGCAATGCATTCATCGGTCCTTTTCCTATGGAAACCAAGAACGTCAGTATCCAGTACCTGTCATTTCTGGCAAAACCTCCGAATCCAAAGCTGACCAGCTTCATTTCGGAGCGACCGGTCAATACCCTTGTGGGAAATCAAAGCCTGTTTGTCTACAGTGATGTGGCCGACTACAGCTTGATTGGGGATACCGCAGCGCAGTTTTTACGTTCCGTGCCTATTAGAGGAGAAGTCAATCAAATTGTCGAGGCCAGAATCGACATTCCGCACTACGTCCCAGTACTACGTTAACATTTCGAAACGATAAAACTGACCATTGCCAACGATCTGGGAGACGACGCCAAGTTCCAAACGGGAAAGTCTCTTGTGAAACTGCATTTCCGACCACAACGACTACACTAAAATGCCTCTGGTGGAGTACGTGCCGGATCCCCAGCGATACGAGAACGTCTTTTTGAGTCAGACCGGTGGTAGCGCACTGATTCGGTACCGAGGCACTCTTCAAAATGGGTCTGGCTTCCCACAGATTTTGAAAAATCTGTTTGCCAAATTATCAGGATTTGTTCAACCAATATTACGAAAAGCAGCACCGCATGCCAAAGCTGCTCTGGAAGCGGCTACACCTCACCTGCAAGAAGCTGCTACCGGGGCTATTAAAGAGGTAGCCGCACGTGCGGGAACAGCCATAGAAAAACGTTTTGCTTCCCAGGAAGGAGAAGGTGTTCGAAAGAAGCGACGAGTTCAACGCAAAGTTGTTCGAGTGAAACGTATTCCTCCTACCAACATCCCCGATTTCTTCTAAAAATGGCCATGGAAAATTCTGAGCCGGCCATGCAACTGGAGAACCAGCTCTTTGCATTACCGGCCACTTTAACGGATCGATGGCGCACGGAACATGAAAAGCTGAACCCCACTACTGTCTTGACAGACAACGGATCCGCCGGCGATATCAATTTCTTCATTCCGCCCAGCACGGCCGGACTACTAAGTTTAGCGGATATGATCCTGGAACTTGAAGTGGGTATTAAAGTCCGCAAAAGCACTGGGGAATGGGAACTGATTACAACGGCTGATGGTGTGGCACCGGTCAACAACATTCTGCACTCATTGTTCTCTTCATGCCATGTGACGGTGGCCAACCGGTTGATCTCGGACGCCGCCACCTTTTATCCGTACCGCGCTTACCTGGAATCTCTGCTATCCCACTCCCTTGACGCTCAACAAAGCCAACTGACATCTGCCGGTTTCTATTACGACTCCCCGGGCTCCTTCAACAGTAAAACCGCAAACAATGGTGAAAAAAATCGAACGGCGTTATTTAATACTGGACAGTACGTACAGCTATCCGGCAAACTGTTTTCCGACCTATTTGACCAAAGCAAGCCGCTGTGCACTGGTGTACCCGTCAACATTCGCCTAGTGGTGAGTCGACCGGAGTTTGCCTTACGTGTATGGGACACGGATACCACCAAGGCAGTTAAACCGTTTATCCGTAACGCGCGCCTATCAATTCGCCGATACATTCCGTCTCCGGACTTTCTGACCGCCGTAGCCGGAGAACTCTTAAAAAAAACAGTCAAGTACCATATCGAACGCGTGGTGATGCGTGTGTCGGACATTCCCCAACGAACCCAAAGCACCGTAATCAGCAATTTGCAGATTGGACAAATCCCTAAGGTAGTCTTCATTGGCTTTGTGGACAGCGAAGACTTTCACGAAGCGCAAAAGAAAAATCCTTTCAACTTTCAACACTTCAACGTTACGCAAATCAGCGTCGAAGTGGACGGCCAGAGTTATCCAACCAAACCGTACACTGCCGATTTCGACCGCAAGTTGTCTCTGGAGTGCTACGACGGGTTGTTGGACACTTTGGGACTTCGTCCCAGCTTGCAAGGCGGCTTACCGTTTAACCGGACCCAATATAACGACGGCTATACCATTTTCGGTTTTGACCTGACTCCAGGACATACCGGCCGTGGACCATTGACCCTGATAAAGCAAGGAAACCTTAGTGTCTCCGTGTCTTTCGGGAAACCACTGAAAAGCACCATTATGATGGTGTGTATGCTGGTCTACGACAGCATTATTGAAATCAACCAGCACCGTCAACTGATCGCGGACTTTACAACATGAATACGCAAGCAATTACCTAGGCACTCCATGGAAATTCTCACACCACTGCGGTATTTCGTGGGGTCTACGCCAGCAATCAAGTTCCAACGAGCCTGACACCTTTTCCAGGAGCGTGTGTGGTGAATACGGACCCAGCTGACCAGGAAGGTGAGCACTGGATCGCCCTGTACCAGGAACAACCCGGTAAAATGGAGGTATTTGACTCTTACGGAAAAGCATTGGAAAGCTATTCACAGTATTTCCAACCACTGGTGGCAGCCAATGAAATCACTCTACAAAATGAACAGTTTCAGTCTGAATTTAGCACTGTTTGTGGACAATACTGTTTGTTTTTTATTCTACGACGTTGTAGTGGTGAATCGTACACTAATATTGTGCATTTGTTTACGGATAGCCGAATAAGCAACGACAAAATGGTGTGTCAGTATGTTAATTCTTTTTTTGACATCCATACTACCATGGTGGACGGAGCTTTGCTCCGACAGATGTGCAAACGTTTATTAAAATGAAAACTAAAACAATATCCGGTTTTTTTCGTTTGTCGTACAATTAGATAAAACAGTAGGAAATCAGCAATTATTAGCGGTAATAATTCCACCCACATTCTCACGAAGCTGATCTTCGTGTTTCTTCAAAAATCCAGCCACGTCCAGGTCCAGAGCCTGCTCAACACTGAGCTTATCCAGTCCGAACAGTATACCATGCACCATACGCAATTCTAAGAACCGCTCCACAGCACCGTTCCATTCACCGTCGGATGGTCGATAGTTTTCTTCGTGGCACTGATTAATAGTACCATCATCCAGCTGCTTGACTAATGGCGCTAAAGCCTCAGCAACGTTCTCGCACAGCATAGGGTATTCTAGTCCTTCTTTGACCGGCTCGTGGACCCCCTGTTCATTCTGGATTTTCACCATGTCTTTGAACAGCTGCAGGTCTTTCATGAGGTCCTTCAACCCGTCATAGTAGCGTTCACCAAAAGAAACACCGTAGCGGGTGGGGATCATATCCCCTCCCTTTACTTCAAAACGTCGAATGGTCGCCACGTTGGTGCCATTGAAACGACTCCAACCAAAATACATGTTCCTGTCCAAAAGGTACAACGGGGTCAGCCGACCGGTTTCAGCGGCACTGGCACGGGCCGTTTCATCCATGTCAGCTTTCTCAGTCAGCATGAGCGCGGCCAAACGGAGAAAACCGATCTTGGACAGCGAAACGTTCTTCCCGTAGCTGGCTTTCCAGGAATTGTTCGGCTGCTCTTTCCATTCACCGAAAACCACATGAATCGTACTGATCTTTCCGTCGGTGCTAGGTCCCACATACACGAACTTGTCGTTTCCCAAGCGGTAGACCGGCTTTCCCAATTGTGCAAAAACAAATCGCGGATGCGCAGATATCGTTGCTGGTAAACTGTGGGGCTTGCTCTTCTTAGCTTCCGGCTTTCCACCCTCCTCTTGACCTTTTCGTTTGGGCTTGGTCGCAGGGGTCTGCGGTCGTTTGGATGCAAACAGGTCCATAAATTCCATGTTGATGTAGATTATATTTTAACAAGAGGTAAACAGAACAACTTGCTAAGAAACTACCGGTTACATCGCTTTTTATAGCGCTCTTCAGTGCTCACCTAGTGGATTATCGATATCGGTGATCCGTGCACTGGATCACCGAATTGAGTGATCGCTTGTATGATAGGGATCACTGAACTCGGTGATCCCTTGTACGATATGGATCACTGAACTCGGTGATCCCTTGTACGATAGGGATCACTGAACTCGATGATCTCTTGTACGGTAGGGATTACTGAACTCGGTGATCCCTTGTACGATAGGCATCACTGAACTCAGTGATCCCATGTACGATAGGGATCACTGAACTCGGTGATCCCATGTACGATAGGGATCACTGAACTCGGTGATCCCTTGTACGATTGGGATCACTGAACTCGGTGATCCCTTGTACGATATGGATCACCGACTTCAGTGATCCTCTTCTTAGTACAAATACGCGGTTTTCAGTACATTCGCGTACTTGACTCTAACCACAGTATTGTACGTTATCAGTTAACTGGAATTTAGACCAGTATTGCGGTAGAGGAAATGGCAGTACCATGCATACTGGATACCGATTGGTTCGTTATCAATGACACCAAGTACATCAAACAGCTGGCTTTCTACTGTCGGGACAAAGATGAACAAAACCTGTACACCTTCTCCCTTCCACGATTCGCCAGCAAGCACATCCCCGCGCTGAAAAGTCAAGCTCGACACTCGCACGGTCTCTTGTGGCATACAGAAGGAAAGTACCGACACAATCAGGTAACGTGTGCCTTGGAGGACATTTTTCAAAGAATCGGACGACTCAGCCAAGTGCGATTTTTTGCCAAAGGCCTTGAGAAGTGCCGACTGCTTGAGCAGTTTCTACCGGAAGTGAGAAACCTCGAATCTCTGGGCTGTCCACCATATCATAAACTCACCTCGCTCCCTGTGTTGACCATCCGCAAAGCTGTTCGGTTCGCATTGTGGTATCACTGTGATGCCCAGAATCACCAATGTTGTTGCCGTTGCGGACTTAAACACTACCCTGGATCTTTGGAAAACTGAAAAACTTCTACCAATGGCGCAGTATATTCCTCAACGGTTTTCTGGACTACTGATTCGTGTTCTCCAACCAGTCAAAGCACACTGCCAATTATATCGCAATGGCAAAATCACTGTAAATGGAGAGCGATCCGAAGAACAAGCGAAGGAAATACTGGAGTTGTTTGTTGGAATGCTAAGGAGGTTCGGATTTCCATGCGTTATTACCGGGTACCGAATTGTTAATATTGTAGCTAACCACACATTTCCTGAACGTGTTCATATTGAGAAATTTAGCGAGTACTTTAAACTTGAGTATACACCGGAATTGTTTAGCGGTCTTGCCGTTAAACTTTGTGTTGGTCGTGCTGTTTTGTTTCCATCTGGTAAATGTAACTTTCTAGGTTTGAAGTCTTATACTGATTTGTCAGCTGCTGTGGAACAGATTGAAACCATGATCAAAAAGTTTAATAAATTCATAACAACTTGAAACCGTACGGAAGTGTATTGTACTCATTATCCACAATACGACGTTTGTCATACGTCACTTGAAACCGTTTTTGCATGCTTGCGCTACAAATTGTTAAATCCTTCTTTACGCGCTTCAGAATGTCGGGATACTGTATATCAACTTTATCACGGTTCTCCAACATTTCCAGCATTTTACTAAAATTAATTTGCTCACTAGTTTGGCCATTCAAAGTGAATCCTTTTACTTTCACCACAGTATCACCATAATTAGTAACGTACGCGTAAGTCTTGGCTCCCAAACTGATGAACTGCACAATATGCTGTCCTGGTTTTAATTCATTGGTAAGTTCGCCAAGGAAGCAGCCCGTTGGGGGGTCAACCAATCCGGGTTTCGTCACAAAGAAAATTGAATCTGTTTTTTGAAAAGCAGAATAAAAAAAGCGGATAACAAAACCATAGTTATATTGTACCTGTATCAAAGTACAACAACTGATCCCCGACCATGTCCATAAATTTGTACAAATGGAGTCGTGCCCAGCAAGTTGTAAACCTGTAAATTGCACCCAATGGTAAAACCGAAACAAATGAAAGTAATAATTCTTACGCCGCTAAGATGACATTGGTGTTCGGATTACGATCCACGAAACCGCTTTATTTGGTGTATGTCAACTGCACAACATCCTCCGAGAACATGTCCCAAGAATGCACGTGATACTTTCCAGACAACAACATGTCGTAAAACTTTTCCGGTTCGGTAATATAGGCAGTGCTGAGTTTGTTTTCTTGCATTCCCAGACGTCCCCAGAAACTATAAAAAGGAAAGATAATGTAATACTTGTGAATTTTCATAATTTGATGCCTGTGTATTTTGTATAAACTAACCTGTTTAAACACAGTTTCGACAGTGAACGCAGTCCAGCATTTGGAGTAATTTTATCATAATCCAGTTCAACCTTCTCATGCTGTTTAAAATCCTGAATGTATTGCTGTTTTTCATCTTCGGTGTGGACGTGAGCAGGCCAACCGCTTGCTTCCGTTTTGATCTTCAAAAACTGGTTGATATACTTTTCAAAAAGACGGTCCTCGTACTGCTCAAAATGCCAGACTTCGTGAATCTTTTGAACTACATATCCGCGCTTCACAGCTTTGTTTATTTCCGGTGTACACCAGGCTCCCGTTAAAGCGCGCTCTTCATCGGTGTGCTGACACTTGATGTTTTGGTACTTGTCCACACATGTCCGGCACAAAGGAAACGTTAACTTACCACCCGAGCGATATGGTAGTACTGGCAATTTCAAGTCCCCAGGTGGAAGCACTTGACACAAGGCAATACCAAAATAATTTCCAATATCTTCAAAATCTTTGGTAATTATTGTGGGGTGACCAATGGGGTATCGTTTGTTTTTGTTGACGTACGGGTATTCGCTGTTGACGTCATAATAACTTATTGTTTCGTCACCGGATATCTGGTGGAAAAGCTTGACGGCATTTGTACGACCACCGTAGAATGCATCTCGTGGATCCAGAGGAGCAATAAACGAAAGTTTCTGAACAAACGATCGCAGTTCGGGATCCGACTTTACCTGATCTGCAAATTCATGTTCCCATATTGTGGTCACACCGTATCCCTGGCTGCGAATATACTTCTCCCGTTCCAGAGTTTCGTTGTATATTTCCGACATTGGAATGTTCCGGAAAGGATGTATGGTTTCAGGAGCTTCACACTGAGGGCACCCGTGGTACCAACAGCCGTAAAATTCGTAAACATGATTGATATCGGCGCGGTATCCGTCAACGAAAAACGGTCCAATCTGGTGTTCAGATCCAGTCAGTGCCGATTCCAAAATGCACTCCTCTTCTTTTTCTATCCACGCTAACCATTTCTTTGCGATTTCTGACTGATTCCGATTTCTTGCATGTAAACGTTGTGGAAGAAGGCCAATCTGTTCTGGTTTAAGAATAAAAGACTTCCAATACCGATTACATACACCAGCAATCGTCATAGCTGAAACAAAAGGGCACAATCCGTTGCTGATTTCTTGGAATAGACGGCGGAACTGTTGGCAGCACGTGCGTAATACTGTCACATCCATGCGACAATACTCTTCAATCTCTTTCCGGAAGTCGAAAAGGTAACCTTTTTCTTTCGCTTCCGTAGCATACCAAGACATAAATGACTCCTTCGCCTTTCTGTTCATACATGAAAATCCGTACTCTTCTGGCTGCGGAAAAGGAAGAATCTTGTCCCAGTTTTCTCTACGATTGAATCGGTGCGGAAATGTGCCTTTTCCAATATCCCGAATGCCGAAGGTTGCTGGCCATTTTGCAAGGCTTTGCGGATTGTAGTTGAAGCTGTCCCGGAAGCGAATACTGAATTCCGACACATCCATTTGCAGAATCTTTCCACCGTTCATAATAACTTTTGGGACTATTCCGTTTTCCAGTAACCAACGCAAAATAAAATAGCCATCAAATCCCTAAAACCGAATGTGTTAACTCAACCGTAATCTTTCGGAAATGATGTTACCTTGAAATTATGGGCGATGATGTAGTGATCTCTGTGTCGCTCATTGAATAAAAACGTACACAGTTGGTCAGTAACGTTACCGCCTAAAGGACTACCTTCTTCCGGAAAAATCCATTCGTGTCCTTCGTCGTCCTGCACAACCTAATAGAAAAAATACAAATGAACTGTGTTAAAATTGAATTGTGAATTGTAACGAATTGTGAATGTTTTTTAAATTTAGCTGCACTTACCGCAAGGTTAGGCACCAGTTCGCTGTTTTCTGACACATATGTCTCCAAATCAAAATACAGAAAGCTAGCACTCTTGTGCTCTTCTAGTTCCTCTTCGGTTACTTTGTGAGGCTTCATAAAACATTTATGAGACTCGGGTAGTTCGTGGACCTTGCACGTTTGACAATATACTTCTCCGTATTGATGTTGATCGGTACCTTTGCGATTCCTGTTTGATACCACACGAAGGCACTGCTGGCAAATAAAAATTGTCTGGCAAATGCTTTTCCGTTGCTTCTGTGTGGGGGTAGAGGCAACCTTATGCTCGGCGAAACAACCGGAATCAAAAAATTTGCGATGGCAGTCTGGGCACTGGATGATGTTTCTTCTATCCACCTCACATTCGGAACGCAAGCATGAGTGGCAAATTGATTCACAACGATGATCAGCTCTTTCATTGAAGCCTTTGTTGCAAGCGTAACACCAATAGCTGTTTTGAAAAAATGCTGGCAACGAATTGAGTAAGTCAAAGTGATGATTGTGATGCAGCAAAACTATGCGTTTATTCTGCTGAGGTCCACTTTAAACTATCCTGTTGGCATGGTCAACACTCACAATGATAATTTGGTACGTTGCAAGCGCTTGCTGGAAAAATGGAACATCCGTTATTGTGTACTCTCTTTCGTCCAGTCCAGCATTTTGTATCAAGTCCTTTGCTTCTTTCGTTTGAAGCTTTCCTCCGCGTCGTATTTTTCGGCACAGCAGTTTGTCACCGTCAGCATAAGCCTTTCCAACAACTAAAGCTCTAGCAAGACAAATCGAATCGGAATTCGTTATCGTTATGACGGATCTCATTCTTTGGAGCCTCTTTTTCAGTAATATAGGAACGTCACGGACACAGCTGCCTCTAGGAATTTCAGTGTGTTGCACCAGTACTTCAAAGTGTTTGTCCATGCTGAATTCTTCGTAAGAGTTGAGCACCCTTGCTACTTCCGCCATCCATCGGCGCACCGTAAGTTGTGATCTTTGTATCGGTGGTGTCCAAATTGGGTAGTTCAGAGACTTTGAATCGATTCGCACTCGCACCATCTCTTCAGGATGCACACCTTCTAACACATAGTCCAATACATGTTGCAATATCAACGTCAGAGCCATCGGAACTATTGCAAAAGGAAGGGTTTCCAAATCGAAAGCCTGAAAATATTATCTTACCATTCGCAAATAATTTCAGACTTGTTCTAAAGATTTGAAAAACGTAGCTGCGGTTTACCTTGATTGAAGAACATTTCGAATGCAAACCAAATTTTTTCTAAATTTTTGAGCCGGCTCCTTCGATGTGGATATGATCAATAATATTTTCGAAGGCGGCATCCAATGAATCTGCGTAAATTCTTTTTTTTTGTTATCTTTAACTCAGTGTTTTATGTGTTCAACAACATTATCAAAACGCAAATGCACGGATTTTAAAAATAAATATTTTTTAAAAATAATCAGGTACTTGAGATTATTTTTCAGAAATTTACCTGTTTCCGTATTCGCTTGGTCATTTGATGTTGCTGCTTCAGTCTCTTCCCGTTGTCGCTTCGAGGTTTCTGGTTCTTCTTCCTGCCGTTGTCGCTTCCTCCAGAAATCCATAATACGATAACAGCGAACCGATTTGCACAAATTTAACCTGTGCGATTGATGAGCCAAAAAATTTACTTAGAATGTGGCGAAATAAGTTTAGACTGAAATTCAGTATGAAAATCTACCTGCTTTATATACTTAGAGGGATCACCGATCTCGATCATCTTACGTATGTACTGTTGCTACGGCGTCGTACGTACACGGTTATGTGTTATGCCAGAGGAATCACCGAACTCGATGATCCATCCAAAGTTCAATGATCCCGCAGGGATCACCGATTCCGGTGATCCTTCATACTGTTGCTACGGTGTTGTACGTACGTGATTGACCGCTGCACTTACATGGATCACCGATTCCGATAATCTCGTACTTGCAAGGGTCATCAAAACCAGGAAAGATTACCAATAACGGTGATCCGTGTTGTACAAGGGATCACTGAACTTGGTAATCCATGTCATACAAGGGATCACTGAAATCAGTGATCCATGTCGTACAGGTGAAAAAAATAGGGAAGCCAAGATCGAACAGTGGTCGTGGTCGTTTGGAACATGTGTCACCGCAATAGCATACTTACCCGACCACAGATCAAGCTTCCTTTTTTTCCTTTTTTGTTTTTGTCACTCAAAAATTAAAAGTAATGCACTAATCAGTATGTCATTTTCACAGTGCCATCTAACGAAACGATATTTAGTCTGCAATTTCATGACGTATTTTAACAAAATCACATATTAAAAAAACATTCCACTCGTTAAAATTCCTCCCGGTCAAAAAACACGCCGTTAATTATCCCCTAGGGCAGAAACACACAGACCGTTAATTATCCCCTAGGGCCTAAAATTTGGACCCCCCGGATAAAAAAAACTGGTTCATATAGACCGGTATACTACTTAGTCTTTAGAATAACTGCCTCCGTATAAATAAACACCTGACAAATTAACAGCCTTTTTGGCGGGTGGTAGCTATATGAACAACCACGACCGACTGAAATAAATGCATTTCAGTGCACTGGCACAATATTTCCGAACATTTTTGCGCTGTGATTACTAATTATTATAAACTTCATTCGTCGGGATCAGCTGCGCTCTCATGCGCTCGCGCTGCGCTCTCAATGTATTTACTTATTACGTGATGTAATTACTTATTAATGTTATTACTTATTACGGTACTTTAAATCGAGCCTTGAATACGGGGACATACATTGCTAACTATGCGCGTCGCGTGAACTCCTGTATTGTTACCGCCAGAATATGTGGTTGCCCACATATTCTGGCGGTAACCACGTAGGACGCCCATTTCCGCTGGGCTTTTCTCTTTTTTGTTTATCTCAACGGCGGGTCAGATATAACCACCCATACCCATACAGTCCTGACCGCCCAAACTTTTTCTATCTACCAGAACGAATCAGTTGTTCGAACGACGAAAACCAAACCAAAAGGTTCAGCTTTGATTGGATTTTCTCGTAGACGCCTATGCTAACAATAGAACAATATGACCTTTCAAATATTAGGTAAGACCTTTACAGCATTTCGTTAAACGACTGGGATGAATACGTGGTTCTGACTGAATGAAAATTTTACCGGAAACTTACGTATGTCATCGTTTTTATTACAGCAAAAACGCAACGGTCGGATTTCATGGAGCAGTGTAAGATTGGGAGTGTCTTTAAGCCATCAACTCCGGTCATACCTCTTGAATCGACCCATATACGGAAAAACAATAAGCGGCAACCACTTTCCGGAACGAAGCTGTTCTTTCTTGACGATGGCGCCACAGACAATAATGCAACTTTTTATTGATTTAACAGCAATTTCAAAATGAAATAAAACTTCCATTATGCGTATTGTCCGTTCAGATCAAATACGTAGCAAAAAACCACATTCATTTATCTAAAGATTACTTAACAGTGTACTGTTGCTACGGTGTTTTACGTACGTGATTGACCGCTGCACTTACATGGATCACCGATTCCGATAATCTCGTACTTGCAAGGGTCATCAAAACCAGGAAAGATTACCAATAACGGTGATCCGTGTCGTACATGGGATCACTGAACTCAGTGATCCGTGTTGTACAAGGGATCACTGAACTCAGTGATCCGTGTTGTACAAGGGATCACTGAACTCGGTGATCCATGTCATACAAGGGATCACTGATTTTACAAGGGATCACTGATTTCAGTGATCCATGTCGTACAAGTGAAAAAAATAGGGAAGCCAAGATCGAACAGTGGTCGTGGTCGTTCGGAACATGTGTCACCGCAATAGCATACTTACCCGACCACAGATCAAGCTTCCTTTTTTTCCTTTTTTGTTTTTGTCACTCAAAAATTAAAAGTAATGCACTAATCAGTATGTCATTTTCACAGTGCCATCTAACGAAACGATATTTAGTCTGTTATTTCATGACGTATTTTAACAAAATCACATATTAAAAAAACATTCCACTCGTTAAAATTCCTCCCGGTCAAAAAACACGCCGTTAATTATCCCCTAGGGCAGAAACACACAGACCGTTAATTATCCCCTAGGGCCTAAAATTTGGACCCCCCGGATAAAAAAAACTGGTTCATATAGACCGGTATACTACTTAGTCTTTAGAATAACTGCCTCCGTATAAATAAACACCTGCCATACTTACATAACGAGGAACCTATAGCAGCACAAAAGAACAGGACAGGGTATTATCCCTATAAAAGTAGAAACTCATTACCGATTTACTTATGTAGTTGTCTTTACTTACATGCGTCTAGTCTCCCGGCATTAAAACCCAAAACCTCCGAAGTACAGTTAACATAGAAATAAATTTTTAAACAAAATTTTGATTAAGTTTTCCAAAAGAAAATGGAGTAAATGGGAAAGCATGGAGAGACTAAACTTTGAAGGAAAATGTCATGTTCTTTCTGCAACTTTACATAGCTTACTTTCCTATATCGCAACAAGGTAAATTGTAACGGAACATCATGTCATAACAACAACCATCGGGGACACAGAACGGAGGAAAATAACAGCATCATTGACGATCGTGCTGAGATCGACCGGCAAGCAAGAACGACTAACGTGCACTGACAGAAAACAAGTTATTCGGGCGTGGTAGACTCCAGTCTTTATTAGATTTGTTTAGGAAAATAACATAAGAGCAAAGCAGAGAAATAATTTTTAAATTTTTAAACAGCTGATCCGTTTGGTACATCTTCGCTGTTTGCCGGATAGTGGTGGCTATTTTGTTGGTGCTTGCCAAGGCAGTACGGGCAACCATTCCCCTTGAACCAGTAGTCGGTCTGCCATCCGGCACTGGTTAGTTGTTCTACCAGGGAGGCGTAACGGCTGCGCTTTCTGGACTCCGCTTTGGCAAACCCTTGTACCGTTTCAAAGGGAATGGTTACCTCAGCAAAAATGATACGCTTCTCCCCGCGGTTAACACAACACAGGTCAGGGCACAGAGAGGTAGGAAGAACATCAAAAGGGACTGTATTATTATGACTATCGTAGTTCCCCGAATTTAGGTCAGACAGAATTTCCCATTTATTTTTATCAGCCACACGGGTGAGAAATCGAAAGATTGCCTGGACAATGCTATTATGGCGCCAGGTGTAGCGATGGCTGTTTAGAGACACGGAACAGTTATTGAGGATATGACAGAGAGTTCCTTTATCAGTCCCACACAAGTCACACTTCGCTGAGACAATTTTGCCCCATTTAAGTAAATTAGTAAAGGAAGGTGAAATGTTAAGAGCCGATTAAATCATAAAAGTTACAACATTCTCAGACAAATCGTGAAGCACTGATTTCCACGGTGCATCTACAATCTCGGCTTTCACAATCTCCTGCCACGCTCCCTGCTGTATCAACCCCTCTATCCGAGTCTCTCTCGATGCCGATATATGCTGCTTCACTTTCTTGTTAACCAACTTTCTGATTGCTGATTTGTTTACCCCCCGCTGCCTACCGGCTTCAATAGAAGATTGGACTATGTCCACAACAGCCTCATAATTAGAGCACGCCGAAGCTAAGCAATCACTTGCAATCTGTGTAACAACAACATCGTTAGAGCACAGCGCGTCTGCCGCAAAGGAGGCGTGTGCTTGTTGATACACAGACTTCAGAGATTTTACGCTCATCCCCCCGTTACATAAAAGAAATCACAGTTGGCAGACACATTAATATTTAACCATTTCTTCAAATGCTTATTAACCAGCGCTTCCAATGAGTTAACTACCGATTCAG